CCTCTGATTGGTTCACATCTGCATCCCAGGACGGTTGCTAGACGGTTGCCGTGTTCCTGCTCCACAGTGCCTTATCTTATCGGAAGGTCAGCTGTTACCTCTGTTCATTCTGGTCACTCTGTTCTGTATCCTTGAAGGCTGGTTCTAGCTGATTTTGCAGTCGTGTTGTCAGCAACTTTCTTCGGGTTACAGTTCAGTCCCGCGGCCTGCAGACTTCACCTGCTTTAGGCGCTTCTGCTAAGCAAGAGTCAGGCTTATGCTAAGCTGAAGCTAAGTCAGCTACAATTCCCTTCTCTAACGTTTCTTTTGCACCACTTCTAGCTGTTTTAATGTAACTCCATGTAAATTGAAAGTCACTTAGGAATAATTCACCTGCATAGTGTTCCTATTAAACTTTGTAGAAACTCATGTTCTCTTCTGGCATGCATACTGAAGTAAGACTGATGAGAACATTTAATTAGTAAAAACCTAAAGGATAATGTTTTCTGGAACTTAGACAGCCCTTTCTGCGCTCAGAAAGGTTCTGTATCCAGGTCAGTTGTGCTGTTGAAATACTTGTTTCCTCAGAACGACAGCTGTGTGGGAATGCAGATTTGTCAAGGCTCCCTGCCTGGGGCATGTGCAGAGGCGCCTTATGCCAGGGGTGAATGCCTTTGCGGGGTTCTCAGCTCCCAGGAGATGATGTTCACCGCAATGAAATGGATTGGGATGGTCTGCCATTTCTGGGTTGCTTCTGGGTACTTTTTAAAAAAATATTGGGCCTATGCTATGGTAAGGAGTGTATGATTCTTGGAATTGTTTTATTTCAAAATTTAGTTGCTTTCTATTGCAAATTGAAGCTGAGGCTAGAAAGGAAAAAGCTGAATGTAAGACAGTGGTTGAAGAAGTGTTTCTTGCCTTAACCCATTGTGAGTGCTGATTGCATAAAGGCAACAGGTATATGTGCATTTGCTACTTGAAAAAGAGAACATGCAGGTTGCCATGCAGAAAAGCTTGGTGCTGCTGTCTTTAACAATGTGCATCCATTGACTTAGGCCCCCAAAATGCGTTTATCTGAAGGATGCTTAGCAGTGAAAGATCCCAGGCTGCAGTCGTGGCTGCTCAGCAGGTCTGTGATGCAGAGCAGGAGGCGCGTTCCCTTTGACTCCACAGACCACCAGTGTATCCGGAGTGAGCATGAGATTTAACTATACTATTTGATGAAAAATTTAGTAGTAAATTCAAGTAAAGCAATTAGTTGTCTGCCATTCAATCATGTCCTCAGTATTTATTATAACTTGCATCCTAAGCAAACGTAAAATGCTTATGTGGCCAGATAGCAGGGAAGTCTTTCTTCTGGTTTCCAGCATGGGAAATTGCATGTATGAAAACTTAAATGCACAATGGCGAGCAGCAGGATCATCTAGCATAAAATATGCAAAAATACTAATTTTAAGTGGAAAAAATTCAGCTGGGTAATCTTTGATCGCTTGCATGAGCGAGGCCAACAAGACTACTGTATTCCAGGGGAATAACAGCAGAATTTCAAAAAAGGATAGGAATTCCTCATCCTGTTTTTAGTTTTCAGGTAAGGTACCTTTCTCATACCTTTACCTACGTTAAAAGGACAATAGTGGGGTTTTTTTATATCCAAAGTTTGACCTACCTACTAATTTTATATACCTATTTATCTGTTTTAAGAGAGAGCAGAATGAAAAGCGTTTTTCTGGCAGTTTACCTAAAAAGAAATATTTAAGATCTGCTTACTGTGGCTTCATAGCTTGGAATTTGGAGATAAGTCCTAGGAGAAGTGGATCACTGAATAGACCACTGGAAAGAAATTGAATAAAGCAAGGTAAATTGATTTTCATCATATAGTGTATGTGTGGGACGTCTTCAATTCAAGAGGAAAGACAGTTTGGGGCCATGGAAAGGATTGGGTTTGTATATAGGTGTGAGTGGAAAAGATTGAGTTTTTATGAGACTATGCACCCTATTTTCAAGTTTCCAAAGGTTAGAAAAGCATTTGCTATAGTATCTGTGCTTTAATTTCTGGCACCTAAGCATATCTTTAAGGACTTATCATTGTAATAATGGGAACATTTACATACTTCAAATTAATAACCTTTTTTTTTTGGGGGGGGGGGGGGATCATGAGCCATAACCAATATCTAAGTGACTTTAAGAAATGGTTCATGTATACAGAAATCAGAATCTACAAAGTCTGATAAAATGACTGACTGCTTTCCTTCTACCAGAAAATTTTTTCATGAAATTCCATGGTAGTTTTCTCTGTGTCTGTCATATCAATCCTTTGTCTTTTTCTTGAAAGAGTTTTAAAACTGACTTTGTTTTAAGAAAGGTGAGAGTTCTGCTGTGTGCGTTCCAACTAAGCAATGAGGAGAAAAAACTTTTTAATATGATTGCATGCATGTTTTTAATTTCTTTCTCTTCTCAGTAGGTGCTTTTGTGGCTGTGTCTTGAACTGTTAAGTAACATAACCTCTGCTCTCTCTATATCCTTGTTTTCTGTTGCAGCTTCTGGTTACAATAACCAGATGTGTTGCTGTTGTGGGGGCCTTCTCTGAAAAGCCCAGAAGTAAGTCTTGTGTTCACTGTAGCTGTGTATGTACTGTAGTTTTATTTTTCTGTCCATGTTAGTTTGGAATTTGGAATTGTCAGTGAAAAGCTAAAGTTTTTATTGAAATTTCTTATGCCAAACACTTGCTTTTCTGTGATAAATGGAAAATTTAACTAAGCTGCTCTCCTGTCACATTGCTATAAAAAGCCATGAATTAAAACATCAAAAGATGTGTTTTTTTTTTTAATTTTTTGATGATGGTGATGATGCAGTACAGAAACATTAGAAGAGTCCTACTTTTTATCCTCAACTCTTACTAAGTGCTGTGGTAAACTTTTAACAGGCTCGATCTATGCAGTTGCTCTTCTAAAGTATATCTGGGCTTAGATATAAGTTTAACACTGAGAGATGCATTTACTGTGGAGAAGTAAACATCCCAGGGCAGGTTGATTCCACTGATCTAATGGCATTTGTTTTGGTCTGTTTACTGTTTTGATTTGCCTAAGATGTTATTGATAAATTAGGGAACTAAAATGGTCACCAGCTGTTCAGCAGAGAGCCACCTGTCATGGTGCAGAGTTGCACAGTGGAAACGCAGTCAGTCAGCGTGACGGGATCAGGGCGCCGACGGCTCTCAGTTGCTCTTGAAGCCACGGGGCCGGGCTGCAGCGCAGCTCTTTGCCGCACGCCTGGCAGCCAGCACTGGTCTTCCTGGCAAAAAGGTAGCTCCAGGGAGACAGTAACACGTAGTTTCTACTTTTATATAGTAGGTACTGTGTTTCTGCCTGCCTATTGGCAGTTACGCTTGTGACTGTTGGTCGCTGAACTTCTGTCTTTGTGTTCAAATATGCTATCTGTATTACTAGAACGTGGGTATTGTAGGACCAGAAGGGACCTCCTGGGTCATCGAGACGGTACATCACTCTTTTGACATTTCCCTATGCAATATGATCCTTTTTCTAAACAAACTGACCTCCAGATTAAAAGCAGTTAGGTCATTTGTTCCTACTGCTCCATCCGCAACTCTGTTGCAGAACCTCACTGTTCTGGGATGGAGACTAAACATTATGCCTTACCTCTGTGTTTACCGGTTGTGCTCTCTTGTCCTTATGGGGGTGTTCTTTATCAGAACAAAGTCTGGATTTTATTGAAGTTGGGAGAATTTTGCATTTAATTCCAGTGAGACTGAATTTCATGTGCAGTTTTGGAGATGCTTGATATATCCCTTGTAGGCCTTCTCCCTTGCTCTGTAGTCCTATGTTTTCCTGTATTAATTAGCCTGGGATGCTTATACAAATCGGAGCAAGGTTTATTTTAACAGTAACTTGACTAGCATATTTTAGATTAATGATTACCTGACATGTATAGTTTAATATTCTTTTTGGTGAAGGCATGATTTTGGGTTAGAGTACTGAATTTTGGTAATTTATATTGGCAACAAAAAATAATCTCATCAGTAGGTAGGTGCGTGTGCTTAAAAAGTAGTATTCTCGAACAAAATCTAAATGACTTGGCCAATTTCTGTGTAGCATGCCTAACCTTGGAAACATGAATACTTGCAAAAAAAATTTTGTAAAAACATTTTGATATCTGACTTGAAAGGAAGTTCTTAACACCCTTTAATATAAGTTTGATCAGTAAAGAGATCATAGTAGTTGGCTCAAATCCTTCACTTCTAGCAACAGAGTCTATAGTTTCATGATCCACGTACGTTTAGATCAGTATTAAGTCAAGGCTTTGATTCATCAGTGCCAGTGTATTTGTCTCTTTCTGCAGCCTGTGGCTAGTACTTCGGTAAAAACTTAAAAAAAAAAAAAAACAGAATAAATACTTAAGCCACATGTCAAAAACTCATTTCCCACACAAGTCTTAAGATGAAATCATCCTTGCACACTGCTTTCCTAGTTTTAATGCTACACTAGGGTATTTGAATGTGCATGTCTTGTGGGTTCAGTTGGACTTCTCACAATATAATGGGAATGAGGATAAGACGGGGGGTGGTGATGTGGTATTCTTAACTGGCCAAAATGGTACCAAATGTTTTACAAACAACTAAGGGGGTACA